GTCCTCTTCGTACCACGTAGTAGGAGCTATCGTGACTTGCGCCTGACTTATTTTATAGTAAGGCATGCTTGCGTAGCGAGACAAATTGAAGACGATCAGAGGGGGGCGAAAACGCTGAGACTAGCAAAGCTGAATAACCCGCCTACGCCTACCACACACTGCCTGGTCCCCACTCCATTTATACCGGACTACATCAAAGGGCATGCCTCCCAGTTTCGTGAAATGTGCACTTTTTACATGCAACGTTTCGGCCATCAATCGCAAGGGATATCTCATGCTTGCTGCAGGATATAGGCGTGGGGCGCTAAAGGTAGCTGGTTTGTATAGGCGTGTATTAGCCTGGATTAATCTGCATGCTGAGCTGCGTGTACGTGTTTGCAGGTAGGGTGAGGTCTTTTGATGGCGTTTCATCTCGGCTGTTTCACCGAAGGTTATTATGAGGGCGGAAATGGTCGAGTAGGCTAATGCAGTGGACACACTAGTGACCGGTTCTTAATTCTAAGTTGCTGCACACCTAAGCGCAGGTTAGACCTGAGTCCAGATGTCCAGTGCAGTTCATGCCAACAGCGTTCTGGCGGTTGTGAGCATAGCGCATTCTGTAGCATGAGAGGCGATCTTGTCGTGTTGACATCGCAACAGATTTCGAGATGTCCAACGAGATTCACCCACCTCCGGTGTTTCGGGGTCTGTGTCCTTGATCCGCAGCAATTTCGTGGCTTTGGCAGGGATTATTTGATAGACTTCGAAGTTAGCTGAATCGCTGCCGCGCAGCAGAGACCATTTGGTAAGTGTCCACGGTGGCTTTATGGCAGATTGTCAGGCCTCTCAGTCTTGATCGAAGTTCTTCTAGGTGTCCTGGATGATTTGAAGACGCAGTCTAGAGGTCTTTACGGTGTCCGTATAACGATTCTTTTGCCTGCTCTACCTAAAAGCGCCCGTAGCGGCCTCGTCGTAGAATAGCCGTTTATGTAGTCATTCGTCATTCATTCTCACGATGTGGCCGCTCATTCGTAGTTGTGTTTGCCTTAGCATGTCGTAGATGCCAATGATTCCGGTTCTTGACGAGATCGTAGTATCTGACGTCCTTTCCTGCAACTCTGCCTTCAATGTTCTTGAGAGGCTGTTGAAGTAGAAACAATGGTGTTTCATCGTTGCGCTTTCGTAGATTGGCCGTTCCTTTGCCCCCTACAGAGACCTTGTCAGAACGACACCTACGTATATCTGCATTTTAACCTTGAGACAAATGCCACGGCGGCTATAAACTGAGTACTGTAACTGGCCGAAGGCTTGACTGACTTTGTAGATTCGCCTTGCAATTTCGTTATCAACTTTGGTGGTTATTAAACTGGTCCACTGGTTGAAAGCGAATGTCACTTGTTTTTTTTGCGGGTTCCGCTGTAGTCAACGTGTTTACTGCCAACCATCCACATTTCCCCTGTGCTTTGATTGCCATTTAACTATTCCAAACACTTAAGAACCTCGTTAATCATTTTCTTAACGAGACCTGTTAGCACTTGCCTATTTAAAATCCGATATCATACCCGTGCGCGTGCAGCGCTCTCTTGTATTCAGGCCCTTGGTCTACTATAATACATATCCTATTATATCAAAATAATACAGAGCAGTTTTTGTCTATGCAAACGACAATTTGAATTGTCAGGACTGCACTGCCTTCCTGTTAATTTTGAGTTTTTGGGGATTTTCATCAACGAAATCACAAACGGGACGATTTTATGAACTAATAAAGAGCGAAGGCAGCAGATGTCATGTTCACACTTGCAATTTCGGAACAGGATTTAGACTAAGACCCACAGTATCCGTTCAATTAATGGGCCCTCTAGTTCTCGCTTACATGGTCCAGCAGTGCCTCACCTAATCCCAGGAGTTTTCAGTTTTTACTTAGCTGCCACCGGTTTCCTAATCATGTCTACGGATGGCAAATGAACGAACTTGTACAGAAATAATATTATTTGCCGCTGCCGCTCAACCGGTCTGATTTACTTCATAATTTATATTCATACTATCATCGGGTGCGGGATACGCCTATAGGGAAGAAGAAGGTTCGATCGATCTTCTCGATTACTTCCTGGGACTTGTATGTTTGCTTGTACTGGTAGATATGCCTATTCTTCGAATTAGTGCGTTATAATTAGTTTGAGAGAGAGTTGTTGCGGTCTTTTACTTCGAACATCTGGTCCATTTGATCCTCGATTCATTAACGGTTTTGAAAAAGCCGTTGCTTGTAACATAACAGTTGGCTGACTGTTCTAGTCTTCTGCTGTGATTTAACGCCTACTGAGTCGCACTGACCATATATTCGCCCGCTTGTT